TGTAAGGCTAGGACCGAGTTGTAAGGCTAGGACCGAGTTGTAAGGCTAGGAGGACCGAGTTGTAAGGCTAGGACCGAGTTGTAAGGCTAGGAGGACCGAGTTGTAAGGCTAGGACCGTGTTGTAAGTCTAGGACCGAGTTGTAAGGCTAGGAGGACCGAGTTGTAAGTCTAGGACCGAGTTGTAAGGCTAGGACCGAATTGTAAGGCTAGGACCGAGTTGTAAGGCTAGGAGGACCGAGTTGTAAGGCTAGGACCGAGTTGTAAGGCTAGGAGGACCGAGTTGTAAGTCTAGGACCGAGTTGTAAGGCTAGGACCGAGTTGTAAGGCTAGGACCGAGTTGTAAGGCTAGGACCGAGTTGTAAGTCTAGGACCGAGTTGTAAGGCTAGGACCGAGTTGTAAGGCTAGGACCGAGTTGTAAGGCTAGGAGGACCGAGTTGTAAGTCTAGGACCGAGTTGTAAGGCTAGGACCGAGTTGTAAGTCTAGGACCGAGTTGTAAGGCTAGGACCGAGTTGTAAGGCTAGGACCGAGTTGTAAGGCTAGGAGGACCGAGTTGTAAGTCTAGGACCGAGTTGTAAGGCTAGGACCGAGTTGTAAGGCTAGGACCGAGTTGTAAGGCTAGGACCGTGTTGTAAGGCTAGGACCGTCTCAGCCATCGGCGTCCTCACCTCACACTCCTCACGTGCTTCCCAACACAACTTATAATCAGGCTATACTCGTCCAAACTGCGGCCTACCTTAGGGCGCATTTTACAATGTGTAAATACTGTGTAATAAATATCTGTACTCTTCTCATATATTATTACTAGATGGGATTTCCGGCGATGCCCAGGTCTCTCACTCCCTCTCTCCCTATCCCCTCTCCGGCCCCATCGTCTCTTTCCCCCCTTCCTCATCTCAATTCCTCTTCTCCCCCTCCTCTTCTCCCCAGCATCCCCTTCTCCCCCGTTTTACACCTCTCCCCACACCCCCCCTCCCTTTCTCGCAGAATGTACGGCATCAGAAAACACACAATGTAACTACACCATTATTTTTACCAATGCTTCTTTAACGGAACAAAACAATGTAGCGATTACGTTGCAAGTTGAGATAAAAAAAGGCCCATTTAGGTACATTTAGGGACAAGTGTATTTGTGCGGCTGCCCTAGACTATATGACGGGGATACAGAATGCGTCAAGAACAAGCTATGCCACGCTAAAAATCCCCATCACACAGGATGGTTAGTCATAAAGGGCCATGTGATGAGAAGTCTTACCTAGCAAACTCTGGGTGTATTATAAGGATATCATCTTGAACACAAGTATGAATAAAGTAGTAGTGATACTAAAAAGTCTCTTTCTCGCAGGATAGTTAGTCATACCGTTCTATATGGTCCTGGACTGCCAAAGTTTGGGTGCATTATGCTTAGTGTGCACACACATACGTGCAGTACATAATTGCACTGCACAGAGCAATTTGATAACACTAACAAATTTTGGGTGCAGTATGAGGATATCCTCAAGAACACAAGAGTTAATAAAGTAATTGCAAAGCTCCAGGTACCTCATGTCAACGAGTCTGAATGGTGTAATAACTGGACATTCAGTGAGTTAGTGTGAGATCATGACCCAGTTCCCGCTCACAGTGTTTGCACCTGGAGTGCTCCGCCACCTGTAGCCACCTGCCACAGGTGACGGTAACCCAACCTGATCCTGGCAACCACTGTGTTGCACACTCGTGGACCCTTTGCCCATGAACATAGGTTTCGGATCTGAACAAATCGTAGCTTTTTATACTGGTGCTTTCAGGCCGTTGGAAGTCGGTAATTTATCTCCTATTGAACCTGAATGTTTGGAACAATATAGTCTTGACAACAGAGATGGGGGATTCCTAGGTCTAATTCAACTTATACTTTGTTACACGCTAATATGGCTGCAGTGTGTGTTATTATGATGGGGTATATTTATGTGAGATATTATCCATACAAAAGAAATTATAAACCCACTACTATGTACAGTGACCAGGTCATTTATACATGCACTGAATGCTCTGCATGCAAAGTCATTATCTCCAAACAAAGACCCAAAAGTGATTCCATCCACCCGCCAATCCCCCTCCCCCTCCCCCCAGTGTTTATGAATGAAAAACGGTTTACAACGACTCACAACTGATTTCGTTCGAACACTTCCGGAACAAATGCTTCACTGACGAATTTTGTTCGAACTACAACGCTGTAAATGCTTCACCCACGAACTACAAATACAAATAATCGCCAACAGAACCTGAACACCTAACCTAACCTAACCTATGCCTATATATACACAATATGCTAATATATTATAATATTAATTTATATTTGAGAACATTCCCGTTTTGAATGAACAGCATGATAATATTTATGAATGCGTCTGTGGGGTCGAGCGCTGGATATGAGCCGAGGACGGGTTGTGTATGTAAACCGGTTTTCATTTATAAACAGGAGATTTAATGGATTAATTAACGAGGATTAGGCCTTTGTTTATGAGGACGAGTTGCACGTTCTCAGAGTAAATGTATTAGAACGAGACATCAAACTCCTTTCAAATCACCTGGATAGTTATGTAGCTATTTGTGATGGTTTAAACAAATATTATGGTTCCAATAATAGTCTACTTGTAAACTGGCAAGTGAAACTTTGTCCTAAACAGAGAATATTTTCAAGTTATAACTTTATTGCACTATAAATCGTTGGTTTAAATATAAAAGTATATGCTTAATTCGTTTTCTTTGAAGCGGTCTGAAGAATTTAGGTTCAGGGCGCCTGACAGCTGGGTGGACAGCGCTTCGGATTCATAGTCCTGCGGTTCCGGGTTCGATCCCCGGTGGAGGCGGAGACAAATGAGCAAAATGTTTCTTTCACCCTGATGCCACTGTTACCTAGCAGTAAATAGGTACCTGGGAGTTAGAAAGCTGCTACGGGCTGCTTCCGGGGGGTAGGGGGTGTGTAACAAAAAGGAGGTGTGGTCGAGGACCGGGCCGCGGGGACGCTAAGCCCCAAAATCATCTCAAGATTACCTCAAGATTCTATATATGAAATTTTAGGGGATGCTTAAATAGTTTTCGAATTCTAGTTCTCACATTTTTAAGAATAATACACTATTAATGTAACTAAACATTATGCAACCTAATCTGACCTAACCTAAGATAAGCGGAAACCAACTTTAATATGGATAGGGAATAGAGAACACTAAATACATGAGGATTATGAAGTCATTATCTCTAGGGAATCTCCTTCCGGAGGACAGGTTGCCTTTGACAGTACCATATCACCTGTGTCACCCTGAAAAGTTGGGTGAGGCTGCCTTAAGCGTCTGGCCTACAACCTTAGACAATATTTCATAAACAAGAGGTTTGGAGTCTGGCTTCACGAGCACTTGGCCACTGTTAATGAGGACGGGCTGCAGCCTCATTAACTTACCCTGGTATGCGTAAATTTGTCAGCTTATTATAATAAAATGCCAAATTTTCTTCTAAAAATATCCATCGTTACTGGTATTTACCTTTAAGGCGATTGGTCAAGCTGTTTTATATGTATTCCTCATAGCAAGGCAGACAAGAAATATATCCTACAGGCGTACACACAAACTCCTCATAATTTAAAAACGTTTGCTCAGTCACTTGGACTGGTCGCTGTACCGACCAGTCTCCTTTTTTTTTTACAGGCCGGCGTTCAATTCCCGACGGTCCAAGTGGTTGGGCATCGTTCCTTTCCCCCGTCCTATCCTAGATCCTTATCCTTAACCCATCAAGTACTATATAGTAGCACTAGCTTATCGTTTTCTCCCCATAATTTCCATTCCTCTAAAAAAGTAAATTTTGCAAGACATTGGGATAAAGTGTAGACTATTAATATAGTAAAGAGCCATGTGGCGTAGAGGTGTCCGGGGCAGTTTACTATGGTATACAGGCAACATTACTATAGGTGGAGGCGCCCTCCCGACACTCCTCCTCCCACGCCATCACTGCCTTAATCATCAAGTCCCGCCCGGCCGGCCGCCGTGGGGGGGGGGTCTTCCCCACCACACACCTGCCTTGTTACCACTTACCTTCTAGCCCCTCACAGTTCGTCTCTGAGGCTTGTTGACAAGCACGTCCCCAGAGCTTGTTGACAAGCCCGTCTCCAGAGCTTGTTGACAAGCCCGTCTCCAGAGCTTGTTGACAAGCACGTCTCCAGAGCTTGTTGACAAGCCCGTCCCCAGAGCTTGTTGACAAGCACGTCCCCAGAGCTTGTTGACAAGCACGTCCCCAGAGCTTGTTGACAAGCCCGTCTCCAGAGCTTGTTGACAAGCACGTCTCCAGAGCTTGTTGACAAGCCCGTCTCCAGAGCTTGTTGACAAGCACGTCTCCAGAGCTTGTTGACAAGCCCGTCTCCAGAGCTTGTTGACAAGCACGTCTCCAGAGCTTGTTGACAAGCCCGTCTCCAGAGCTTGTTGACAAGCCCGTCTCCAGAGCTTGTTGACAAGCCCGTCCCCAGAGCTTGTTGACAAGCACGTCTCCAGAGCTTGTTGACAAGCACGTCTCCAGAGCTTGTTGACAAGCACGTCTCCAGAGCTTGTTGACAAGCCCGTCTCCAGAGCTTGTTGACAAGCACGTCTCCAGAGCTTGTTGACAAGCACGTCTCCAGAGCGTGTTGACAAGCACGTCTCCAGAGCTTGTTGACAAGCACGTCTCCAGAGCTTGTTGACAAGCACGTCTCCAGAGCTTGTTGACAAGCACAATTCGCTGTCCTGGAACTGGTCGTTATCATATTCGCAGTTCAAATAATTTGTTATGCGTTACTATATTATTGTGTAGTGTATGCATTTTATATTGAGATAAATTTTCTTGCAGATGCCTCGGGCATGACCGAAAATACTTTCTGTTCTTTGTTTTCTGTGTGGCTTTGGCCTCAATTCCGTTTTAATAATGTTGTTTACATTAACTGAACAAGACTGCTCACCGTGTAATTATGTACGTTTCAGGCGTGAAGGTGCGGTGTATGGTCAGGCGGCAGCATCATCCCTACTGTGAAGGCTGCCCTCCGCCCAGCTGCTGTGTACGGCTGCCATCCGTCCAGCTATTGTGTACGGCTGCCCTGCGTCCAGCTGCTGTGTACGGCTGCCCTCCGTCCAGCTGTTGTGTACGGCTGCCCTGCGTCCAGCTGTTGTGTACGGCTGCCCTGGCTCTATACCCACAGTCCAGCTCACCTGTGCCCAACCACTATTCCCAGCTCAATTTGCCTCCAGCGACTATCAGTTGTGGTGTGATGTCTCCTTGCTGAGCTTTCTAAAGCAACTCTAAGTCGAGGAAAATGAACTACTTTGACCCTCGTTATAGTGCTCAGAAAATACAATACAAACAAGAGATACTCAACAAAAACATTACGGGAAACCGGGCCAACTTGTCTGCTGCGAAATATGATTACTTTTAGCAACAAATTAAAGATTGCTAGTGCGGTGGGAGTGGGTGAGGGAACTCGGTACTGGTGAAGTACCGGAGAGGTGACATAGAGGGTCGGCCAGGCGAGGCTATGCCGCGTCTGCCGGTAATGACAGCAGCCGTGGCGTACCGGCGCACCACCAGTGCCCCGGAGGGCGAGGCTCCTCCCACCCTCCCCGCCATGCCATCTAAATACCGTCAAGGAAGTGATATAGGATTCCTGCGAGTCCTGGAGGAGGCGACGCGGTCTGCACTGGGCTCCCGAGTTTCTTTCAACAAGTCGGAGCCCTTACTGCTGAAAGGCGCGAAGGCAGTCTTGGCTCTGAACCGAGGAGGGAGCTTGGACGAGACCAATAAAGAATCTGTGTCTTTCGAGTGGTCCAGGAATATTAACCAGCAGAAGACCGTACAGACAGTGAGTGAGCGGACGCTCCCCACAGACACCTTCGGTGATAAGGACAATAACGCGCCCACCACGCCGCTCCTGAAGCGGGTGGCGGCGAGATGGCGGGGCGACGGTGGTGTCACCTGTACTCGAGACGACTCTCTTCCCGTCAGCGACACTTGGAGCGAGGTGGAGGTGGAGCTCAACCCCACAGACGCCAGCCACCTTCCCAAGATGCCGGCGATAAGATGGCCCTCGCTCCTGAGGGGACGGAACAAGCGAGGCTCAGCCGCGAAGGAAAGTATGATGAAAGAAACGACACATTTCCCACAAATAAATGTGGGTGATGGTAGCGATGGTTGTGTACCGCTAGCAACTGTGCCTGGAGAACACGTACAGGAGCAGCCAGACCTTCACCGCTCACCACGTCCTGTGCGGTTGGACCGCACAGAGCGTCCTTTGCTATCCTGCAGTCGCAGAAGCTCCTTCAGTAGGTCGCTCAGCAGCAAAAGTCTACTTGTTGACCACAATACAAAGAGCGACGTAGAAACGGCATTAGACAATGAAACGATAATTGACAATGAAACAGTACCAGACAGTGAAACGGTACTAAAAAATGAAGCGGCACTTGGTAATGAAACGTCATTAGACAGTGAAACTGTAAATGATAATGACTCTGAGAGCAGTGAAAGGTTTGCGTCCCTGACGCCGTCTGACGACGAGGACAACGAGGAGGACGAGGACGCTGCAGGTCCCAGCGGGGAGGCCACCTTGCCCTCAGGTGAGTGTTAAGGTCCCAGCGGAGAGACCACCTTGCCCTCAGGTGAGTGTTAAGTGCCCTACTCTAACAGTCCTTTCCTTAACATGACATCTAAGTTATTTTTGCTATGTACAATTTTATGAGCTAATCACACCAAAATTAAAAACAAAAAAAAAAATCTAATCATCATACTTACCCTTAAACCCCTAAATGAACCCCCTAAGGACAACCCATATCATCAAACTTTATACATATTTTAGTATAAAGTTTGATGATATGGGTTTTTGTCTTTAGAATATGGTGAGTTATCCTTAGAACTCACGACATTGCAAACTCACACACAAACTGTTGAAGAACCACTCCCGCTGTTTTAGAACAGCTCACACTTGTTGAACTACACACTTCCACAAACCCACTCACTGGTAGAACCACTCATATTATTGCAGAACCACACACATCCTGTTGTAAAACACTGTTCTAGACCAGCGTGAGCAGTTCTAGTACTACACACAGTGCTCCAGAACCACATTCACTGTTGCAGAACCACATTCACTGTTGCAGAACCACATTCACTGTTGCAGAACCACATTCACTGTTGCAGAACCACATTCACTGTTGCAGAACCACATTCACTGTTGCAGAACCACATTCACTTGCAGAACCACATTCACTGTTGCAGAACCATATTCACTGTTTCAGAACCACATTCACTTGCAGAACCACATTCACTGTTGCAGAACTACTCGTACTTTTGCAAAGCCTCTCATACTGCTGTAGAACCACTCACCTTGTCGTAGAACCACTGTCACTGTTGTAGAACCTTTCACTCTTGTAGTTCCACTCACACTTGTTGAACTACACACTATTGTAGAACCATTACCACTTTTTTAGTAGCACACGAATTGTAGAACCCTACGTACTGTTATAGAACCATACACACATTGTTGAAAAACAGTCATTGTTGCAGAACCACTCACACTGCTGAAGAACCACTCACACTGCTGAAGAACCACTCACACTGCTGAAGAACCACTCACACTGTTGCAAAGCCATTAACACTTTTGCAGAATCACTCACACTGTTGTTGAATAAGTCACACTTTTCTAGAATCACTCTCACTGTTGCTGAACCAGTTATTCTGTTGACGAACTACTCGTGCTGTTGCACAATCGCTCACACTTTTGCAGGATCACACACACTATTGCAGGCCTTCACAAACGAAACTGTATTGAATTTAGATCAGGAGCTTGATCACGTTGGCACCTTAGTGTGAATTATTTGTATTGTCAATGAACGTATAGCAAGCAGGGTGATACTGTGTATAGCAAGCAGGAAGATACCTCGTATAGCAAGCAGGGTGATACCTCGTATACCAAGCAGGGTGATACAGTGCATAGCAAGCAGGATGATACAGCATATGGCAAGCAGGGTGATACCTTGTATAGCAAGCAGGATGATACCTCGTATAGCAAGCAGGGTGATACGATGTATACCAAGCAGGGTGACACAGCGTATAGCAAGCAGGGTGATACAGTGTATAACAAGCAGGGTGATACAGTGTATAGCAAGCAGGGTGATACAGTGTATAGCAAGCAGGGTGATACAGTGTATAGCAAGCAGGGTGATACAGTGTATAGCAAGCAGGGTGATACAGTGTATAGCAAGCAGGGTGATACAGTGTGTAGCAAGCAGGGTGATACAGTGTACATCAAGTAGGGTGATACAGGGTATAGGAAGCAGGGTGATACAGGGTATAGTAAACAGGGTGACACAGCGTATACCAAGTAGGGGTGATACAGTGTATAGCAAGCAGGGTGATGCAGGGTATAGCAAACAGGGTGATACAGGGTATAGCAAGCAGGGTGATACAGGGTATAGCAAGCAGGGTGATACAGGGTATAGCAAGCAGGGTGATACAGGGTATAGCAAGCAGGGTGATACAGGGTATAGCAAGCAGGGTGATACAGGGTATAGCAAGCAGGGTAATACAGGGTATAGCAAGCAGGGTGATACAGGGTATAGCAAGCAGGGTGACACAGCATATAGCAAGCAGGGTGACACAGGGTATAACAAGCAGGGTGATACCTCGTATAGCAAGCAGGGTGACACAGCGTATAGCAAGCAGGGTGATACAGTGTATAGCAAGCAGGGTGACACAGTGTATATCAAACAGGGTGACACAGCATATAGCAAGCAGGGTGATACAGAGTATAGCAAGCAGGGTGACACAGGGTATAGCAAGCAGGGTGACACAGGGTATAGCAAGCAGGGTGACACAGAGTATAGCACGCAGGGTGACACAGGGTATAGCAAGCAGGGTGACACAGGGTATAGCAAGCAGGGTGACACAGCGTATAGCAAGCAGGGTGACACAGCGTATAGCAAGCAGGGTGACACAGGGTATAGCAAGCAGGGTGACACAGCATATAGCAAGCAGGGTGATACAGAGTATAGCAAGCAGGGTGACACAAGGGTATAGCAAGCAGGGTGACACAAGGGTATAGCAAGCAGGGTGACACAGGGTATAGCAAGCAGGGTGATACAGAGTATTGCAAGCAGGGTGACACAGCGTATAGCAAGCAGGGTGACACAGGGTATAGCAAGCAGGGTGACACAGGGTATAGGAAGCAGGGTGATACAGGGTATAGCAAGCAGGGTGATACAGAGTATAGCAAGCAGGGTGACACAAGGGTATAACAAGCAGGGTGACACAGGGTATAGCAAGCAGGGTGACACAGGGTATAGCAAGCAGGGTGACACAAGGGTATAGCAAGCAGGGTGACACAGAGTATAGCAAGCAGGGTGACACAAGGGTATAGCAAGCAGGGTGACACAAGGGTATAGCAAGCAGGGTGATACAGAGTATAGCAAGCAGGGTGACACAAGGGTATAACAAGCAGGGTGACACAGGGTATAGCAAGCAGGGTGACACAGGGTATAGCAAGCAGGGTGACACAAGGGTATAGCAAGCAGGGTGACACAGGGTATAGCAAGCAGGGTGATACAGAGTATAGCAAGCAGGGTGACACAAGGGTATAACAAGCAGGGTGACACAGGGTATAGCAAGCAGGGTGACACAGGGTATAGCAAGCAGGGTGACACAAGGGTATAGCAAGCAGGGTGACACAGAGTATAGCAAGCAGGGTGACACAAGGGTATAACAAGCAGGGTGACACAGGGTATAGCAAGCAGGGTGACACAAGGGTATAGCAAGCAGGGTGACACAGAGTATAGCAAGCAGGGTGACACAAGGGTATAGCAAGCAGGGTGATACAGAGTATAGCAAGCAGGGTGACACAAGGGTATAACAAGCAGGGTGACACAGGGTATAGCAAGCAGGGTGACACAGGGTATAGCAAGCAGGGTGACACAGGGTATAGCAAGCAGGGTGACACAGAGTATAGCAAGCAGGGTGACACAAGGGTATAACAAGCAGGGTGACATAGGGTATAGCAAGCAGGGTGACACAGGGTATAGCAAGCAGGGTGACACAGGGTATAGCAAGCAGGGTGACACAAGGGTATAGCAAGCAGGGTGACACAAGGGTATAACAAGCAGGGTGACACAGGGTATAGCAAGCAGGGTGACACAAGGGTATAACAAGCAGGGTGACACAGGGTATAGCAAGCAGGGTGACACAGGGTATAGCAAGCAGGGTGACACAAGGGTATAGCAAGCAGGGTGACACAAGGGTATAACAAGCAGGGTGACACAGGGTATAGCAAGCAGGGTGACACAAGGGTATAACAAGCAGGGTGACACAGGGTATAGCAAGCAGGGTGACACAGGGTATAGCAAGCAGGGTGATAGTGTGACCTTGTGTCTGGGGGAGCCTGGGTGGCCTAGGGGGCCAGGCAAGCAGTGTCTGACTACCGGACGCCTCTTCTATGGAATTACTATTATGCGTCATTCTTCTGTCATTGATTAGAATGTTAAATATTGAAGGTCGGTACACACGCTCACACTCATAAGCGCATGCGCGCGCGCGCGTGTGTGTGTGTGTGTGTGTGTGTGTGTGTGTGTGTGTGTGTGTGTGTGTGTGTGTGTGTGTGTGTGTGTACTCACCTATATGTACTCACCTATATGTGCTTGCAGGATCGAGCATTGACTCTTGGATCCCGCCTTTCCAGCTATCGGTTGTTTACAGCAATGACTCCTGTCCCATTTCCCTATCATACCTAGTTTTAAAAGTATGAATAGTATTTGCTTCCACAACCTGTTCCCCAAGTGCATTCCATTTTTCTACTAATCTCACGCTAAAAGAAAACTTCCTAACATCTCTGTGACTCATCTGAGTTTCCAGTTTCCACCCATGTCCCCTCGTTCTGTTATTATTACGTGTGAACATTTCATCTATTTCCACTTTGTCAATTCCCCTGAGTATTTTATATGTCCCTATCATATCTCCTCTCTCCCTTCTTTTCTCTAGTGTCGTAAGGTTCAGTTCCTTCAGCCGCTCTTCATATCCCATCCCTCGTAGCTCTGGGACAAGCCTCGTCGCAAACCTCTGAACCTTCTCCAGTTTCTTTATGTGTTTCTTCAGGTGGGGGCTCCATGATGGCGCGGCATACTCTAAGACGGGTCTCACGTAGGCAGTGTAAAGCGCCCTAAAAGCTTCCTCATTTAGGTTTCTGAATGAAGTTCTAATTTTCGCCAGTGTAGAGTACGCTGCTGTCGTTATCCTATTTATATGTGCCTCAGGAGTTAGATTAGGTGTCACATCCACTCCCAGGTCTCTTTCTCGAATCGTTACAGGTAGGCTGTTCCCCTTCATTGTGTACTGTCCCTTTGTCTCCTGTCACCTGATCCCATTTCCATAACTTTACATTTACTGGTGTTAAACTCCAGTAGCCATTTCCCTGACCATCTCTGCAGCCTGTTTAAGTCCTCTTGGAGGATCCTACAATCCTCGTCTGTCACAACTCTTCTCATTAATTTTGCGTCATCTGCAAACATTGACATGTATGATTCCACTCCTGTAAACATATCATTTACGTAAATTAGAAAGAGGATTGGTCCCA